ATTTACGACCTCCAGGAGCACCCGTGTGTGACCAGAAATGTTAAACGAGCTACGACCGACTCGCGTCAGCTAGCGATCGCCGAAAATGCGAAACGCGTTCGCCCTCGAGAGTGAAATGGAGCCGCCGGTCGATTGCGCAATCGAAATTAACGACGCATCAGAATGCGGCTCGTTGAATCGAGCGAGGCCGATTTCTGACTCGCGTAAGACAGAAGGAGAGCTCCGGGGATCCTAGAACGGCCTGAACGGACTTGCCAGTTAGGCACCCACGCCACTGGACCGGTGGTGCGTCGGCGCCGCCACTCGCGTCTCCTCCGACGACCGGCGTCATCGGTGGAGAGAGAGACGAGCCGCCGCAGTGAGGGACCGTCGGTTGCACGGCTGACCGTATCGCCCGTCGAGTATGCTCGCCGGTCGTGCGAACGATTAAGAGACGTCGTCGTCGTCATCGTCGTCGTGAGCGCGATAGACCCGCGAGAGCGATTTCGCTCCGACGTGCCCCGATGAGCTATCACGATGATCGTGCGAAAGGTACGGAGGGACGGCCGCGTGTCCCGGAAACGGGATACAGCCGGTACCAGTCGGCGAAGCCGGAGGACACCGGCGAGGTGACTCCGAACGAGTGGCAAATTGCCGATTGCGAGACCATTTTATCGCCGGGGCGAGACGTCCTCGGAACACCTCGGATGACACCCATGAGGTGTCGATCGAGTCACGTGCTTGGGGGCGGGAATCGTGGAAGCTGTCCGTCGACTTTGACAAGTGGGGACCACGGCGGTACGGAAGTTCTCACGTCTGTTTTGTTATCGGAACGTCATTTAAGTGCGTTTGGACATTTTGTAATCGTTGTAAAATGTGGCGAGGTTTCAGGGCTGTTGGCTAACATATGCCAAAACTAGTCGAGACGCGTGATCGTGAGTGTTTCTTGCCTCCCGTGGTCCTCGGACGAAGTGACGGATCAGCTGCGGAGTCTCTACGACATATCTGCCTAAGACTTGACGCGTTTAAAATCGTTCTTTGTTCAATAACTCTCGTTTTTACGAGAGGATTATCGCTTCCGGAGTTCTCAAAGAGAACTTATTGTCGTTCAGCAAGTTCTTAAGCTTTTATGGAACAGCTGCAAGTTGATTGGCTACACATTTCTCGAAGCTAGAACTTGGGCCAAGTTCTAGCGTCGTGGACACAGGTCTTTACAAAAAAAAAAGAGATTACTCGCGAAGAATCCTTTGATCTTCGCGATGCTCTGGATACATCTGGCGATACTTCTTGCGGTCTTATTTGCCACTTGCGAACGCTTAGCTCGGCTATCGTCGCGTGAACTCGCATAAGTGAATATCTCGCGGCCGGCGTTTATTGTTACTACTTTATTGCTGACATGCATATTCATGGACCCACGCTACTTTATTGCAGACGACGTCTATATTCGCGCTCGGGTTTTATCGTGAAATGCAAATATACGCGCGCACACGCTTATATTATGATGAAATAAACCGGCCGAGCTATAAACTCTTATATATTCGCGGCAAATATTAACGATTGAACGGGCCGATTGACGTGTGTTTTTATTTCGAAATTAAGCGAGGAACGAAAATACCTGGGCTTAAGCTTTATTTGTTTTTCACATTTATTTGTGCATATCAATTCTTGTATATTCTTTTGCATATACGGACTGCGACGCTCGTCAAGCCTCTCGCTAGCGTTCGACTCGGTCGTGTCTGATACGCTCTTATCAGCTCGACGCTGTGCGACGCGATTAATTACGCTTCGACAAGGTAAAAACCGTCCACTCGTCGACTCCTTATCGATAGTGCGATTTTCACTGGGAATCGGTTTTCGCGATCAGAGACTTGGGCCAATATTTATAGTCAGATCTTACATTCAAGACCGGCTTGAATTTATCTAAAGATGCTGTACGGGACATTCCATTGGCTACGGAGTATCTAAAGATGATGAGACAGTCTTGAATATAAGATCTGACTATGAATACTGGTCTTAATCACAAATCTTCCCCTCAAACGTGAACTCGTGAAAAGTGAAAATTTCCATTAACAAATATTGAATAGACTGACGAAAATTTTTGCTCTTCACGAGTACACCCTAGAAAAAAGGATTCGTGATCGAGCTCCAGGACAGTTTTATGTGCAAGAACTGCAAAAATATGCATTTTCGCACGCGTTGCGCACGTAGCACTGCCTTCTGCAGTGTCATTTTTCCCAGGGTAGCTCTCGTGTCTTTAAAACCCGCTGTACTCGCCGTGTCTAATAGGGGATTCTTATTTTAACGCGTGCACAGAGCGACCCAGAAACCGGTCGGTGGATTCGAGAGAGAAGAGAGAAAGAGAGCGACGGGATCTTCTAGATTATGGAATTTATTTATTTTACTTTTGCGTATCACAAATGTGTGTGTGTCGCAACTCTTTCCCCGATAATAACCCGTTAGAAATGTTTTGATCTCCAGTCGTTTGGAACTCGAAGATTATAGTTGACGCTCTAGAGATAAAACGACCGTTTTCGTTTGATTTCCATTTATCGCGCGACATCGTAAACAATTTTAAATGACTCCCGCATTAACGGGCACGAGAAGCCACGTGTGTCAAACGAGATTGCCTAACAATAAGACGCGAAATATGTGTGTATGTTATTATCTAGCCAAGTTGAACGACTTCCCGACTACTTTTCGGATATGCAAACTGCGCGACACCGAAAGCAAGTAAATTCATTTTTCATTAACATAATTGTGCAACTGATATGTGGACGATCGATCGCCCGAAGGCCGACGGTCACATCAATCAGACGTAATTTCTTCGGTCGGTAAATTTACGATGCAGTTAAATCCGCCACGGATTGCTTCACGGTCGCTGTTAATATTTTTCGTGTGTACTTTGTTAAGTTTTATTTTTATTAGCACGGATCGCTTCATCCGTATAGAATTAATGCTGTCATCGAGGAGAAGGAAAGTTTTTTTTAACGAGCTTGGGACACGTACATTCATACAGACTGCTGTAAATTATTTTTTATTTAAGCAATATTGACACTGATTTAATCTCCGTCAATTTATTCGCGCAGTGGCGGCGACTTCGTGATATTCTTCATGGGTTTTGCAGTCAATCCGGCGATTTGTGTCAAATATTTTTATCCGCGTTTCGTGTTTGATATTGGACGTGGCTGCTCGATTATTAAAATCTCGCGTGAAAATTTATGCGCGTATAAATTGTGTATAATGTTTCCGCGCAACTGAATTATATTCCATCGGGATTTCAAGGCTCGTTCTTCGGCTTGTGTCGAGTCACACGTGTTCTTCCATGTTTTCCTGGGTTCACGAGTTGACAATGGGGACGACAGCATCCGTCTTCGCGATGACATAAGCAGGTGACGCGGACTCACGGACGCCTACGACGGTGAGGCAAGGTCGGAGTTGGACTCACGTCCAAAATTGCGCGTTTAAGCATGCGATGCCTCTCGTTCGGAATTAGGTAATTAAAGGCAAGGCGCGCGTTGTGCCGGATAAAATTTTGCGTAAGAGTGGCTTCGGCGTTCGGCGCGTGCGTGAGCAATGCTATATTTAAGAATCCCCGTCTCGGCTGAAAGATCGCGGGGCGGCACGTGGTCCAATTATACGCTGGTCTCGCCGCATGTAAACTTGTGCACCGCGGGCTGACTCATTTAAATGCACGCGAGAAGTCTCCGCGGACGATTTACAGCGTGGATGACGTGGTTAATCGGCCTTAGGTATCGAAGATCGACAGATTGACCCAGATGTACCCGGCGTTTTTAAAAGGACGGCGTCTGATAATTTACCCGAGCAGTTGTCGCGAATAGTGGATTCACTTTCGAGAATTAAATTTTGCCGCAATGGAAGTTTGATTCAAAGTAGGAACGTATCGACAATCATTATTCTTTTGTCGTGTCTTTATTGAATAAAAACTGAAATTGCACTCGCTGAAGAGTGCGACTCCGCGAATTCTAAACGTCATATTCAACGTAGAAACCAATGGATATACTCGTATAGCTAATAAATGTACGTAGAACGCATGACTAGATATGTTTCCTGCAAGTCGCAAAATGTTTACTTTCAGCGTGTTCTTCAAGAACAAAGGCCGCTGCGGACGTTCCGCACAGAGTTCAACATATATGAAAGCACTACTAGCGAGGAGCGTTACACATCCACAACTACACACTACACTCAATCGCAGTGAGTATGACTTGCGTTAGAAGTTGGGAGTCCCGCCTATCCGCGTACTAGAGAAGTACCCCCTGTCCGCTATATAATTTCCACCGATAGGTGCTTACTCTCCAATTAGGTCCATATTTAAGAAATGGGTCTAAAGCTTTGTTGCACGATACGAGGTGCGTTTCGGTCCGACGTTCACTTCTCGATGGCTCTTGCCGCAGATACACCTCCGAGAGGCATGAGTCCACCGAGACGACTTTCTCGAGCGAGACCTCGAAGCGCAATTACAACGCGGACCAGTCCGCATATTGTCCTAATGGCGAGACCGTCAGCCCGGGCGCCGTTTCCGTCGGCGCCGGTGGTACCCTGTTCAAGCGCTCGCACGAGGGTACAACGAGCTCCAGCAGGCGACATCAACAGCAGCACGAGTTCTCGTCTGTCGTGGACGGCGGGTTTAGTAGCGAGATTAGGGATCTTAGGAAGGTGTCGCGGGTCGACGACGGGGGTGTTGTCGAGGCAGAGAACGTGATTGATGTTAGGGGTATCGTAGATCCGAGCACCGGCGAGGTCCTGACCGTAGGCGAGGCGATTCGGCTCAGGATCCTCGACGTTAGGAACGGTAGGATAGCGACGTCGAGCGATGGCAGGACGAGCGTGTCGATCGAGGAGGCCGCTCGCGACGGTATCATCGACGCGGCGCTAGCCGATCGGCTGTTAGGTCCATGCGGGGTGAACGAGGAGGGCCATCGGGTGTCTCTGCTCGAGGCGATCCAGCGGGAGCTCTGCGACGCGGAACGGGCCGACATCGCGGACCGAGTTAAGGTAACGACAGCACGCCGCGACAACGGTGGCGGGAGTAATGCCGCCGCCACGGGATTTAGCGTTGTCGATGCGATGAGAGAGGGCTTGTTGGACCCGGCCACCGGGGAGGTCGTCGCCGAGAACGGCGAGCGGATCTCGATCGAGGAGGCGTACTCGCGCGGCTATCTTACTAAGGTGGATGTGACCGTTAGGGTGACTCGTAATGCCATCGCGCTCTCCGACGCAATATCGCAGGGCCTTGTGGACGATCGGACCGGCCGCGTCGTCGATAGGATCACTGGCGAGTCTTATCCGTTGGACGAGGCCGTCGACAAGGGTATTATCGATCCGAACGTGAAAGAGATCGTGGACACGAGGAGCGACAGCAAGGTGACGGTGGCTGAGGCCATGAATCGCGGTGTACTGAATGCCAAGAGTGGTAGATACATGCATGGTTTGTCAATGGAGAAGCTGCCGTTCAAGGAAGCTCGTCGTCGACAACTGATTGTCAAGCCGATGACGCTCAAGGATTGTTGCGATTTGGAAATTATCGATGACAAAGGCAAGATTGCCAGTCCGGCGCACCGTGACAAATTAACGATACTGGAGGCCATATCTCGTGGCGTTTTAGACTCTGAGACCATCAAATCCGTGGTAGATACTCGAACCGGCGAAATGATTACGTTAGCCGACGCTTTAACTAGCGGAATAATCAAAATCGATGGCACGTATCGCGATACGTTGAAGGCCGAAGAATTCCCTATCTCTCAGGCCGTCGAGAAAGGCCTGATCACGTCGGTGACCCAAAAAAGTATCTTCGATATCGATGGCTTCAAGGATCCGGTTTCTGGCGAGTACATCAGTCTGAATGCAGCGTTGCTGAAAGGCTTGATCAGTTCAAAGTCTGGCGGTACCTTCACGATCGACCTGAAAACCGGGAAGACCGTTTCGCTGAGCGAAGCAGAGGAGCAGGGTTATATCAGGCCGGAAGTGTTGGAGATGTTGAACCGTGGCATCGGCGTCACCGAGAACGGACGTGAAGTGAGCGTTCTCGAGGCCGTACTGCTCGGATTACTCGATCCGAAGTCCGGTCAATTATTGGATCCGCGTAGCAAAAGAATAGTACCTTTGGAGGAGGCGATCAAGCGAGGACTTATCACTCCTGATGGTGCCGCGCTGCTCACCAGCTTACTGAACATCGCGGTTACCACGCAGACCGTAACAAAGACCATCAAGAAATACGTGACGACTCTGCACACCGGCGAGATTGTTACGAGAGATTACAAGATCAGTTATGATGAAGCACTGCGCAGCGGTTTGATTGACGAAAGTAGAAGCGAATTTAGGGATCCCGATTCGGGAGTGACGATGTCCATCGAAGACGCCTTCGAGCAAAGCCTGCTAGGTGACGATGTTCGCCATCGCGTTGTGCATTCGCGAGAACGTACTCCAGATTCGTCGCAGACAACTTTCGAAAGCACCTTAACGGCAAATATCGACGAAGTACCTAGAAGTAGAAGAAGCGAATCACCACCTAGAGCGATTGGCACGGTTACTACTATTATTACCAAAGAGATCGCTCCGCGAGCATCGTCTACGCCGACGAAAGAGTTGTCCTCGGTTACGATGATAATCGCGCCATCAACGACTGATTCTGTTTCTTCTGTGCGAGATTCAACGGCCGAAGAAATCTCGTCATTTACAAAAGTCAGCGAATCGAAGTGGATGTCCGAGGCAGCATTGGAAACGAGTTCGTCCGAAGAAACGCATATGAGTCATAAACTTAAATCACCTTTACGTGATGAAAAACAAGGTACGGAAATAGAAGTAGTCACATCAGTTACACCAACTACGAGTCGTGCATCGGAGATAATGAAATTCATAGAAAACGAACGTATCTCCACGGATAAACGAGTGTTCGAATTACCTACGGATGGCTGGACGCTCGCCGAAGCTATCGATAGGAAACTATTTGACCCTGCTACGGGTCTTTTTATAATTCCAGGCACCGACAGATTGGTTTCCTTCGAAGAATGCATTAAATTGCAGATTATCAATTCGAATTCTGGCTTCGTTATCGATCCCAACAACGGAAGAAAGGTATCCTTGGTGCGAAGCTTGGAGAAGAATATTCTAGACTCCACAGGTCACTACTGTTATCCGCAAAAGATCTCGATGAGAGAAGCGATCGCGAACGGATTAATCATATTGGAAGGCGGCTCGAGCATGGATAGTGATAACACCAATCAGAGGCTTCTTCAGGTCACGAGGGTCTCGGGCAAGCCCGATAAAGTGGAGTTGACGCGTGTTGGCGATCCTTCTCAGCAAATGGAGATAAAGACCAGCGACGAAACGTCTATGCCGGATCCGGTGCAGGTAACTCAAGGAGTGATTTACGATCCGGGCACGGCCTTAGTGATCTCCACGAAAACTGGCAAATCCGCGAATCTCTTAGCCGCTGTTTCCGAAGGAACGATACCGTCTACAGCCGTAATCGTCAAGGATCCAACGACTGGTAAAGTCATTAGCATGACAGACGCCGTGAACCGTGGTATTCTCAATGTTAATACGCACGAATATAAAATCGACGATGGCAGGAAGATATCTCTGATCGACGCGGCAAAGTTCGGAGTGATAGCTGTTCTTGGCGCTCCCCTTGCAGCCACCGCGGCCGCCATAGAAGCGGTACAGAGAACGATGGTGAAAGATCCAGTAACTGGTAAGAAAGTGCCGAGAGAAGTTGCCATTGAACGTGGCATCATTCCAATGGACGACAATGCAACCTCGCCGATTATTGAATCCGCAAGTGGTACACCCGATGAGAATGAAAAAGTTATCGCGAAACATATCGTACACGATGAACCTGGAAAGGTTCGTGTATCGAAGGAGGACGCTAAGAGTGCAACTTCAAAACCTGCCAGTGATGTTCCGGATGGTGAAAATTTGGGCACGAAGACCAGAGCGCGAGTGACTGTCGAGCCGAGATATCAAGTTACGATTGGTAAAGCGAGAACGTTATCGCAGAGTCCCGAACGAGAAGCGAGACCTATCGTTCTGCAGAAAATGCGAAAGAGGATAGTAAATGTCGAGGAGGCATTGCAGAGCGGTCTCATCGATGTGGAAACAGCGGACACCTTCGCGAAGAAGATGCGCAACGAAAAAGGGGAGCCGATTACTCTTTCGGAGGCAATCCGCGACGACCAGATAGACGCTAATCAGGGACAGATCGTGGATCCACAAAGAGGTGACGTGCTTAGCATCAAGCAGGCTATCGATCGGGGAATTCTGGATCCAGAGAGCGTGCAGGTATTGGTGCCTTTGGCGAAAAGTTTGTCTGTACACAGCTTGTACAAGCAAGGCTTGCTAGATCCTTTGGAAGGTAAAATCGTTCATCCAGAAACAGGCGCGCATCTCACCCTCAACGAGGCTATAGTGTGCGAGATAGTGGATCCCCTGTCTAACGTAATGTTCACCGTTGACGGTCGTTCCGAAACGTTGCAGTCTGCCATTGCGAACGACACAATCGATGCGGAAAGATTGTTGGTCAAGACGCAAGGAGGTAGCGTGAGTCTAGTCAAGGCGATAGAGAACAAAGTTCTCGAGTTAAAAGAACCGGCTAAATCTTTTAATTTACCACCGGCAGGAATGACGTTCCCCGTTGCGCTAAAACGTGGATTGATTGACATTAGCAAGAAAGAAATACGTCATCCGATTACCGGGGAACACTTGCCACTGGAGGATGCTATAAAGGATGATTTTATTATGGCATTGCCGTATCCAGTGGCTCCAGACAGTATTGAAATAACGAAAGCTTTAGAATCGGGATTGATCGACAGAGACAACGCTGTATTCTTCCATCCTACTACGGGAACTCCAATTCCAATTGTTGCGGCTGTCGAATCCGGCCTGCTCATCATCAAACAGCCGGCTCGTGGTGAAAACACAGCTGCCATTACCGAGACGATTACATCGTATCACACTATCACCACCAAGACCGTTGAACTTTTGCCAGGTTATGCATTGAAGAGCGCGATGGAAGTACAGGATATCAATACCGGTAATGTTATCACCATCGAAGAGGCCCGACAAAGAGGTATTATCAAGGATGAGTCTGAAACCAAGCAGGAATTCACGACGAAAGACATCAAGATGTCCTTCGATCACGCGGTGGAGAAAGGATTGGTAGATATGAAGAAGGGCATTTACACTGATCCTTGTACTGGTACCACAATGCCTATCGCTAAGGCCGTCGAGGAAGGAATCCTCGATACTTCATCTAGCATGAGTGAATCTGGAACGCCCAGGAAATCGTCCAACAACAGTCTAACCGTGTTAGAGGCGGTTGAGCAAATTTACGACGAAGAAACTGGGACTTTCAAAGATCCCGAGACGAACGAATCTTACAACTTGACGGAAGCGATGAAAGTGGGCCTAATCGAACCCGATTCCGTGCTTTACAACGTGAAAACCAAAGAATCTATCACCACCAGGGAGGCAGTTGAGAAAGGTTTGCTCGATCCCGTCACTGGAAAAATGAAGACCATGCGGGATCAAAGGAATCGTCCGATCAGCATAGCGGAAGCTACGAAACTGGGTCTTCTGGCAGTCGTCGCAGCACCAGTCTTAGCTGGTAAAGCAATTGTCGATGCAATTTCGAATCGCAAATCTAAAGAGACAAAGAAGGAATCGAGTCCGCCTTCAACTATTATTTCAAGTCAAATTATTCAGAGATCTCGCGCCGATTCTCACGAGATTGAAAGCACAATGGAAACGCAAAAACGAGTGCTTTTAGATGCAAAAATGATCGAAGATATCCAAATTACAGAGACAGAAATGGAGGATAACGGTGAATTGCAACAAGTTATGGACGAAGAAACGCCGAGGCATATTTCGGTAATGATTACAAGAGAATTAACGCCTCAAGTTCTTGCGGAACTCGGATTGTTCGATCCTGTAAGAGAAAAATTCTTGGATCCGGAAACGGGTAACGTCACATCCTTCAACGATCTGGTCCTGAATCTAAAGGTTTTCGATCCCGATCGGGTACTCGTCAAGGATCTGTCTTCCAAGACGGACTTGTACGTGACACTGCGCGAGGCAATCAGCCGGCCTCTTGTAGACAGAAACGTCGCTTACATGGTCGATCCGAAGACCGGTAAGAAGATACCGTTCTTCGAGGCGGTGAGCTTGGAATGGATCAAGGAGGAACCAGAGGACGAAACAGAGAGAGAACAGCTCGCAGAATTTCAGCCCCTAGGCTTGCAAGAAGCTATCGACATTGGCGTATGTAATCCCACCACAGGAACGATTCGAGATCCGAAAACGGGACAAGCGTTGTCTATGAACGAAGCTATCGATGCGGGACTCATCGACGCTGACATGCTCGGCGTGAGAAATCCGATCACCGACGAGATCGTGCCGTTTTCCGAGGCGCTGGAGACCGGCATCGTGGATCTTCGCAAGGACGTTGTCATCAATGCAGAAACAAGAACGGAAATCGATATCACGACCGCGTTCCTACAAGGTCTGATCATGCCCATTTCTCGTAAGCCGATCTCGTTGGAAGCTATTATTAGGCAAGGTCACTATGATGCCGAGACGGGAAAAATACAAGATCCTCTGACAAAACAATCGATCGATGTCGAGGAGGGTGTTCGTAGAAGCGTCGTCGATGCGTTTATCACCGAGATCGGAGACACGAAAGCCGGCTCGTCCGTCTCGTTGGACGACGCGCTGACGATGAACTTGTTGATTCCCAGTACAGGACGTTTGCGTGACACGAAAGCCGGAGAGCTTTTATCTTTAGACATCGCGCTTGATAAAGGTTTGATTATCACAACACCGTTCGTGCCTTCGCTGATCGACGCGATTGTCCAAGAATACTATTCACCGAAGACTGGCCTCGTTCTGAATCCTATGACGGGTGAAAATTTAACGGTGAAAAAGGCATTAGCCATTGGTTACGTTAACGGCTCTACTACAGTGGTAAAAGACGATAGAAAGGATAGAGTTGTTCCCCTCAACGAGGCAGAGGGAAGTAAGCTGATAGATCTAGTAAGAGGAACATTAACCTATCCGCATTCCATGACATTGGACGTCGCTTTTGAGAAGGGATACATCTTGAGTACCATAAAACCGTGGACGCTACAAGAAGCTTTAGCTCTTCAAATTTACGATCAGAGATCCGGCACTTTTAATATCGATGGCAATAATTGTACTTTAGAGGAAGCAATCGAGAAAGGCTTTATTAGCAGGGACAGTCCATCGATTAAAGACCCGAGGAACAACGATATTATATCTCTGGGCGATGCTATTAAGCATGGTTTTATTAACGCGAAGACCAGTACGGCAGTGGATCCGTGTACCAGTGCGCCCCTTTCATTAACCGATGCGTTGGATCGCGGCTTTATAGTGCCAGCAAAACGCAAGATATCCCTACCGGACGCCGTCTTCAAAGGCTTGTACGATCCGAAGACCGGACAATTTACAGTACCTGACACTCAAGAGAAGCTTCCTACTGATCGCGCGATTAAGATGGGCGTTATAGACGCCACAACCGCGATTGTACGAGATCCTAACGGTGATGTGATGACGTTCAACAAGGCTATTAAGACCTCCATAGTCGATCCCAAATCTGGGACAGTTAGTCATGCCAGAGGACCGCCTATAGATTTCCAGGAAGCACTGGAGCGTGGCTTGCTCCTCGAAACAAGAAGACCCATGAGCTTCAGCGAGGCAATTTCAAAGGGTATTCTCGATGAGAGGAGCAACAAATTTTTAGATCCGCAGACGGGCATTTATCTAACAGTACTGGAAGCCATTCAAAAGAATCTAATAGATGCTGACTCTGTTACCGTCAAGGATACGAGGTCCAGCATCTGGAAAACAATGACGCTAATGGAATCTATACAATCGGACTACATGGACGGCACTACTGGCTATCTCAAAGATCCGAGCAAAGGTAACAGGAACGTATCTCTGAGGGACGCCTTCGAATCTGGCCTCATTGTCGACAGTAGAGCTGCCGTGTCTTTACAGCGCGCCATCCACCAAGGTTTGTACGATGACAATACGGGCAAGATTATTGATCCCAGTACAGGCAGAGCTGTGACATTGCATGAAGCGATGAGAAAGTGCATAATCAGTCCCACATTGCCTTGCTATTGGGACAAACGTGGCGAACGTTTGTTGTCATTGGCCGAGACATGTCGTGCTGGCGTAATCGACAGGCGCACCGGTATGTTCAAGGAACCGGGCGCCAGTGGCTCGGTCTCGCTGTCAGTCGCGTTGCAACTCGGTCTTATTGTCGACATAGAGAGCATGGGATTCGGCCTATACGAGGCGATATTGATGAACATGTATGACGTCTCGTCGGGCAAATTCGTACATCCGACCAGCAATCGCAAACTGACGCTAGCCGAGGCATGTCAAGTGGATCTAATAAACCCCCTAACGTCGATCGTTAAATGCACTAGGTCTAACAGATATATCCCGTTGGCTGAAGCGATTTCCTCGGGCATCGTCGATGACATTCGTGGCATGTATGTCATTCGCGAGCTCGACAAAGCGATTAATCTCCAAGAAGCGGCGAAGAAGGGCTTCATCGTCACGTCAAAGACACCCCTATCGATCGAGGAGACGGTCAAATGCCGCCTTTACCGTGGCGACAGTGGCAAATTCGCAAGTCCTGTTGTTAACGAGTATCACGACCTACTTCAGGCGATCAACTGCGGTCTCATAGATCCTGATACTACCGCCTTGAAGGATGCAACGACCGGACAGATCAAGTCGCTATTAACGGGTATCGAGGACGGGACGGTCGATGTGTCGCGGGGAAGAATATTAGACCCCAAGACAACGCGTGCTTTTAATATCGATATAGCTTTGGAAAGAGGTCTGTTGGTCACGATCGACAAACCTCTGGCTCAACAAATAGCACATAGATCACCCTTAGAAGCCCCCAAAGTCGGACTTGGCGACAGAAACGTGAAAGAATGCACTCTAGAAGAAGCGATCAACTACCAGCTGATTGATCCTAACACGTCAGTCGTGAAAGACCCTAGAAACGGTCGGTTCGTGACGACGGTGAGAGCGATCGCGGACGGTATCGTAGATCCTTCCGTCAGAGGTATTATTGAATTGAACGGCGGAAGCAAAAGGGAACCGCGTTTCGTGCGTTTCGGCGACGTTACCGTATTTATTAGGAAACCACTCACTTTCGAAGAGGCGGTCGAGAAAGAGTATCTGTCGCTAGAATCAGGTAAATTCACGGATCCGATTTCGAACGAACAATTGACACTCAAGGAAGCGGTCGGTCTCGGTATCGTAGACTCGGACTCGGCGTTGATTAAAGACTCGCAAAAGAAGAAGCTGGTAAAATTGCCGGAGGCGTTCCGCAAGGGCATGATGGACGCGGAAAAGGGCAATGTGCTGGACACGGCCACGTCCAAGTTGTACAGTTTGTCCAAGGCCCTGGAAATCGGCCTGTTGATCACCCCGAGAAACGGCGTTTCGTTCATCGAAGCGTTGCAGTTCGGTCTTTACAATCCCACCACGGGCGGCTTTCACGATCCCTTCGTTGTCACTTCTGTGTTGGACCGTAGACGCCTCACGCTGGCGGACGCAATCGAGTCGGGTCTGATCGATCCATCCACCACAGTGATCAAAGATCCGTTCACGGGTAATATCGCGAGTCTGTTAGAGGCAGTGAATAGCGGGAAGGTAGATTCCGTAGGAGGCAGATTAGTCGAGGACACAGACGGCAAGAGTATCGACTTCGTGAAGGCCTTGGAGCGGGGTTATATACTCGCCGCTGAAGCCAGGGTAAGTAGGATCAGCCAGAAAGATGCCTTTTACACAACCCCGCGACTCCCGCACCGATTGACTCTTCTTTATCCTCCGTTCGTTTTTTCCCCCTTGCTGTTTGGGTTTCTCCAATTTATCTCACACTCGAGTTTACGTTTGCTACTGTTTTCCACTCACGATTCTTTAACAGCTTCTTTCGAGAGGATGTGATTATCATTACGCTACCACACGTATCGACATTACGTTTTACTGTCGTGCGAGTATCTTTCCGTCACATTTCGCCTTGCCTTGGGTCTGTTGTGAATTTTTATGCCATTGTCATTCGCGAGGAAAGCCGCTTGTTGGCATGATGGTCCCGTACGGATCTCTAAGTCTTCGTTTTTGACTCGCATGACATTTTTTATCTCGAACGACAATTAAGAGGAAATAATACGCGCAATGTGCATGGCATAATTTAAAATGTGCAGGGCATAAATTAAAATCGTTCTCGCTCTGATCTTGTCTCTATCTTCCTCTACTTCATAGAGGAATCATCCCCGTGCTTCCTTTTATCGGAATGCTCGCTTCAAACGGTTTGTCTCAAACTATCCTCATCATATAATACATCATACCTTCGTGCTTACCTTCCTTCATCACCTTAATGTGGGTTCAGTAAAGGCCGGCCATCGTCATGAACAACACTAATCGGACACCGCGTACGTTTCTTCGGGCTCTTCATTTATGCAATTGGCGATCTGCAGACCATCGGACAATATCGAACATCGCATCATGAACAATACCTCCACCACGAATATCATTAATCCCAAGCCAAGTTTTGTCGCATCAACAACGCTAATCCCTTTTTAATAAATTAAGTAGCATTAATCTATAATTTTATCGTTAATCTATAATTTTACCATTAATCTAATAATTTTAACTCGCTTATCTTATTTTTCGTGATGAAATTTCCATTGTCTTACGTACAGCGCAATTCAAAGTTACGTCTACATAATTTTATTTCAAAAACACTCGTGAGAAAATACAACAATTTTTCAATATCCTGGATCACATGTTGGATCACTCGATCCATTCATGGGACGCTAATGATTTTCTTTGGTTGGAAAAAAAAGTATAAATCATTCACTGAGCATACTAATGTGTACGGCATGCATGTACAGAGTAAAAAATTGCAAATTGGCATTTTTCTCCATTTTTCATTCAAAATTAATGCTTATACGAGAAGAAGAAGGATTTGGCTGAAAGGACATGCAACCATAATCACGTCGTTGCTCTCTGCCTTTCATCATCCTTCAGCATTAGCTTAATCGGGATGTAAGTGACAGACGATTGTGGCAATTAAATTAAAGGCATTGGTGAATAGAAAATTAAATTCAGTAATAATCAAGTGTCCTCATAATACGCAAAAGAAGATTGCATTAAAATATATAAGATAATAGTAGATGGTAGAATATTTTTTTTAACGTAATGTTAAGTAACGTGAAATGCTTGACGGTAATCAAGACCAACGCAATAATTATAAGCACCGCATTAGCACTTCTTGATGTATTGCTCAATAATTAAAAAAAAATTTGTTATAATAACGGATAGCTCTTGAAGTCTCAGTTGGTTTTTTTTACTGATCCGTGCGAGATATTCGTACGATTAACACATTACGATGCAATTAACAAGTGTATAATATATCTTGTCTTAATTTTGTCAAATTACTTATTAATATGCGTTTAATCGAACTAGTTTTTAATATCTGTCTGTTCAGAGTTATAATAATTATTATACATTTAAATGTTTTCCTTTTTTTTCAGGTATGATTATGTTTACTTATCACGAACCTATGTTTTCGCGCTAGCATGAGTTAGCGGGAGTTTCTTCCACGTTGTATACATTATCATACTGTATCATATACATTTTTATATGCAGTATATCATCACATCGTTACTCCGTCATTGTGCGTTTTAATTTATTTGCTTGTTGGAACGTGTTTTATTACGCAATTACGTTATCTTCATACTGTTATCGTTTATGCTTTAAACTGCATATGAAAAAAAACCGATACGAAAAGTATGCAGTTCTTGCAGATAAATTAAAGCTACCATTTAATACTGTATTTTACTTGTACGTTAAAAGTGTGCCTGTGTTTGCATGCGTGAGATATGTCGTAAGCTTACCTACGTTTCTTTAATCTTTAATTAATACGATACCTATATTGTCATTGGTAAGATGGCGATATTCTTATGATTTACTTTTGTTTTCATTCTAGCACATTAGATGTAGCGAAATAGATGGATCGCACGAGTAGATAGAAATGAATTGTTTGCCTCTAACTTAATTTTAGCAAGCGGTGGAGGAAAAGTACAAGCTCTGCGATGAGACGCTGTCTAAGCTCCTGCAGTGGATCTCCGAGGTTGAGGACAAACTGGCGGATCAAGATACCGTCAAGGAAGATGTAGAAGAGTTGAGGAAGCAGATAATCATCATGAAAGTAAGCAATAGAACATAATTGTAATTCGTATTAGTCATTTCGTGTAAATGTACCTATTTTATAAAATTGAGTAATTTCATACGAAATCTAATGTTATTTGCAGGAAATAAAGGAGGATCTTGAATCGCACAGTCGACCCGTTTCATCCTGCCTAGATCAGATTCGACAAGTCGTCTTGACAGGCGGCAACGTGCTATCTAGCGACGAAGTGTCTACGTTGGAGAAGAACGGTCGATCACTGAAAACTCGATTTGACAAAGCGTTAGATCGCACTGACAAATTAGTGAAACGTCTCATTGGCGCCAGAGATGAATTAACAAAGTTTAAGTCAGTATCTCTTGCGTAGTTGCCGAACAATTTAGTATCTTTCGAATTAACTGATTTGTTCTTTTACAGAAATGAACTCACGACGTTCTCGATCTGGTTGGACAAAGCCAGAAGCGTGCTCGAGGATAAAGAGCGTTCTTTGTCCGATTTGAACAAGCTAAGTAGCAGCACGGATACGACTCGCGATTTCATCAGCGATGTCATCGCTCATCAAGCAGATTTGAGATTTATTACAATGGCTGCGCAAAAGTTCGTTGATGAGAGTAAAGAGTATCTCCAAGTTCTTAACGACTTCAGAACCAGCTTGCCACAAAGATTGCCGCACAAAGAGCCCATAGCTAGCCAGGACTCGCCGATACGAGCGGAAGTATCCAGCGCGACAGCCCGATACAAAGATCTACTATCCCGAGCAAATCTCCTGTCGGACAGATTGTCGGGAGTCGGCGGCAAACAGAGAGATTATCACGATTCATTGGAAAAAGCTAGAACATGGTTGAGAGATGTCGAGCCGAAAGTGCACAGAGTTATCTCCGAACCTGTTGCCGCGGAACCGAAACAAGTGGAGGATCAGTTGAGCAAAGCCAAGGCGTTGAACAATGAATTCCTCGCCAACGAGCGTCTAATTGATAACGCTAAACACAGCGTTCAGGCTCTGTTACATTCTTTGGAAGGCCAACTAACGATGAACGAAGCTAATGAGCTTGAGGAACCCGTGAGGGCATTAGAAGATAAGTACAAGCAATTGAGCAACGCTCTGGCTGATAAGTGCCAAGAACTTGATACAGCATTGGTGAGAAGTCAAGGAGTGCAAGATGCATTGGACAGTCTGGTTGCATGGCTGAACAATGTTGAAAGTCAATTCAAGTAAGTATAGAATAGATACAATTATTATTTCTGAATTATCCTGTGTTATCTTGAGTTTATCTTTAACTGTAACAAATCGTATTGTAGGTCGCTCCAACGTCCGGCAAGCTTGCAGAAGGAACGTTTGGAAGAGCAACAAAGAGAACAGCGATTACTACAAGCAGATTTGGATAGCCACCGTTTGAGTGTAGAAACTATCACAGCGAATGCTCAGGATCTCCTCCTGAATTCGAGCAACATTCGCATCGCCAAACGTATCGAGAGCAAGCTGAAAGATGTGCAGAGCAGATTTGAGAAACTGATGGACAAGTCTTTGAGACGCGGTGAATTCCTGGACGAAATCGCGCAGGCCCTAAATGAGTTCCTTGGAGATGTGGCCAAGTTCGAGAGTTGGTATGCGCATATGATGGAAATTCTCGACTCGAGAGATTTGAACAAGCTCGACATGTCGGAGTGCGAGGCCAAGATGGCTCAGCTAATAGACATGCGTGAGGATCAGCGCGGAAGCTTCGAAGATCTTATACGCAACGGCAAGAATCTGATCTCCAAGAAGGATATAACCGAAGCGGGTGCGATTAGAGATAAGATCAAGGCGCTCGAATCTCAATGGAAGGAACTGAACAATCTGCTCGACGAGAAACAACGATTGTGCAAATCGAGGGCAGAACAGCACACGGCGTACGAGAAACTGCGGGATCAAGTACTCGATTGGCTTACTCGTACGGAGAACAAAGTGCAAGGACTCGAACCGGTCGCCGTAGATCTGGACAAATTGAAGATACAGCAGGAAGAATTGAAGCCCATACAAAAGGAGTATCGCGATTACGGCAATACGGTCGATAAAATCAACGATCTTGGTATCGCTTACGACAGTTTGATGAAAGAACGCGGCGAGAGTCCAACGCGTCGACGTGGCAGTGCTAGTCCGACGAAGAGACCAGGTATTATCTTTGCGATTGCTATTACACATATATGCGATTTTGCATAGATACTTTTCGACAGCATGATTTTGTGAACTGTGCACATTGGTTTCTTGCGAACCAATTGCTACCAGTTTATGTAACTTATCAGTTATAACAACTAGCTCATATACCTTTCACATTACATCTTTTTCAGCACACAATCATTACCATTTTCGTTACGTTTGACCATTTTTTTCTGTCATTTTTTTTGTAGTACTGCGAATGTCACAAGACGGTCGCTCGCCGTCACCCACTAAATCCTACGCAGTTCAAAGTCCGGTCTCCCCAGGTGGTAGCAGCGGATTCAGCAGCCGCCGTTCGAGCCAAGATGGTTTCCATCTAGAGGAATTATCGCCCGTTCAACAGCAGCTCTCGGAAATTAATCATAGATACGGATTACTCGGTGTCAGATTGTCGGATCGCCAAACGGAGTTAGATAATATTAGGGAGGAATTGAAGAAACACCTGGACCATTTGAAAGTACTCTCCCAATTCTTGGACAAGGTAGTGTTTTTGTTTTTTTAGAATGTTTTATAATGCAATATTTGACCATATTAAAATATAACGCCCGGAGACGCTTGTGTGTTGCATGCACCGTCCATCTAAGTATTCGTGCTTGCGTACACGGAAATAAACTCTACTCATAGAAAAGAAACTCATTTATTCAAAGGCTGTTACTACACAGACAATGCGTCTAAATGGCTTGAAAGCTCAATTTCAAATTTTTTGGCAACAGTTTGACAAGTTAGATGTTATGTAAATGCTTCGCGATCGCAGCTCGATTTAACTTATGTCAGTCCTAGAGACCTTATTAGTGTGGGCGTAACAATATATAAAAATTGTACATATATATATATATTTACATAAATTTTTTTATCAGATTAAGCGGCAGTTGCCTAAAGAAAGTATGCCTGCAACTAAAGATGACGCAGACAAAACAGTCAAACAAGTTAAGGCCCTCGTCGAGGAAATGTACGAGAAACAATCTCTACTGGACAGTACTCGAACGCAAGTGCGTGATTTAGTCAGACGTAAGAAAGAAGCATACGGTGTAGATAGATTGAATGACGAGATGGAAGACGTTGCCAGTCGGTGGAGATCGATTTCGGACAGATGCAAGGATCGAATTAAATTCCTGGAAGATATTAAAGACTTCTACGACACGTACGATGGTCTTAATTCCTGGCTCGGCGCTAAAGAGCGTATGTTGAGCGCTCTAGGACCAATTTCGGCCGATCCCCGTATGGTCGCGAGTCAAGTGCAACAAGTGCAGGTTTTGCGAGAGGAGTTTAGAACTCAGCAACCGCAATTGGATCATCTGGTACAAGTTGGAGAAAGTATTCTTGTCACGATATCCATAGATTCGATAGATGGACAGAAGATAAACGCGAAGTTGCAGAGCATTTTACAGAGATGGGCAGATCAAGTGGGAAGATTGGACGAAAGGGCTCAGAGTTTGGGAGATGCTGTTGATACTAGTCGTGAATTCGATGCCAGTCTTAACCGTCTGCGAGATGCTCTGCAAGGAATCTCAGACAATTTAGACGAGTTGAGTCTTGAAAAGGATCCCGAAGAACAGCTTCGTAAGATCGAGAATCTGGAGAGACAACTAGAAGGTCAGAGACCGTTGTTAGCCGACGCGGAGATGGCCGGTGCACAACTGTGCGAGGTTCTGAGTGACCCAGCGTCAAGATCCGAAATTCAAGGAAAGCTTACCACAGTCGGCAAAATGTACAACAACTTGCAGAAGAAGTTGGATCATAGGAAAGCAGAAATCGAAGGTAACCTGCGAGATGGAAGACAATTCGAAGCCTCCTGTAGCAGAACTCTGGGATGGCTCGCGGACGAACTTGGAAATATGTCGGAAAAGCTGCTTGTGTCTGCTGACAGAGAAATCTTGCAACAGCAACTTGATCATCATGAGGTATGTATAACATTCACATAAATATTGTTAAAAATTTCCATTTTTTTCACTTATACGTCTTATACCTTGTCAGTTCTATTAACAAAAATAAAATATAATTTCTAGCCTGTTTATCGTAATGTGATGGGTAAAGAGCACGAAGTCATAATGCTATTAAACAAAGGACGCGACATACTTGCGCGGTCTCAAAAAGTTGAAAATCGCTCGCTGCAACGTGACTTGGATAAGATGCAGTCGCAATGGGATCGCTTGAAGAAGGATACTGTCGAAAGGCATACCCGATTGCAGACCTGCGCTGAGCATTGCAAGAAATATTACAAAGCTCAAGACGTATTTCTTCCCTGGCTTCGACAGGCGGAGGATAAATTGGACAGTTTGATCCCTACTTCCTTCAGACGCAAAGACATCGAGAAGCAGTTGAAGGAATTGTCATCGTTTAGGAACGAAGTGTGGAAGCACTCGGGAGAGTTCGAAAATAACAAGATGCTTGGTGAGACATTTGTCGGAGCTTGCGACATTGACAAACAAAATGTGAAGAACGAACTCAGTGCTATGAAAACCAGATGGGATAAATTGAACAATGGTACGTTTAAATTTGCTTTATTATTGTAGCATTACAGTTTACCGCAGTTTAGATTTATGTTTGTTGTGTTACCATATTATAATTAAATTATTTCTTCCAGACTTGTTGTCTAGAACACAAGCGTTGGAAGATACCGCACGTCACCTAATGGACTTCAACGAGAACTTACGAGATTTGCAGCACGGTTTACAACGTTGTGAAGATAAGTTAGCTTCACACGATGCTCTCGGCGGAGCGGCTAAAGATCCGAAACTTCTCGACAGAATAAAGGTAATTGGGTGCATTTTACTTTCACAAAACAAAAACTATAATTAATACAAAATATATTAATTTTTAGAACTTGCGAGAGGAAACAACGAGCTTGAAGAAACCTTTACAATGCGTGAGACAGCAGGCTAACGATCTCGTGAATAAGGCCGGCGAGCAAGGTGTCGATGCGACACATTTACAAGACGAGATTGACAATGTCACCGATCGTATTAATGATCTGCAAGCGAAACTGGATGACAGATGCAACGAGCTGCAAAGCGCTGCGACAGCGGTCGCGCAATTTAACGATCAAGCGAAATTGATTAACCAACACCTGTCCGCTCTCGAGAAAGATCTCGACTCCATGAAAGCACCCGGTAGAGAGATCAAGATTGTACGAGGACAATTGGAGGATATCGCCAAGATTATTAGCAGAATTAACAAACTCTACGAAGAAATTGGCGATCTGCAGAATCGCGGCGAACGTTTGGTTGATTACGGCTTCGCTGCTGATGCTGTAGCGACGAGAGATCAAGTTGACGGATTTAAACGACAAATTGGCAAACTGGATGAGCGCGCGCGTAACAGAGAAGATGAGCTCACTTCTACCTTGAACAAGTTACAAGAGTTCTATCAATTGCACGTGGAAGTTATGGAGGGTATCAGCGATGCGAACGAACAGGTCAGACGATTCAAACCTGTCGGATCCGAAGTGGACTCGATTAAAGCTCAGCAGGAGGACTTCAGAACTCTCAAAGTTAAGAAGATAGAACCACTAGCACGCGCCGTTGAAGACTGTAACGCGCTCGGTCAAGGCCTCATACAAACTGCAGGACGCGATGTCAATACCAGTAATATCGAAAAAGACGTCGATAAAATGAACGAAAGGTGGAACGACTTAAAGGACAGAGTAAGCATTTGATCTGTATCTAAATGTAACAAATGTGTGTGTGTATGTATATATGTCTGATATATTTATACAAGAATTAACAAGATACATTGTTTTGTTGTTTAATTAATAATTATTTATTTTTTAGCTAAACGAGCGCGATCGCAAGTTGGATGTTGGATTATTACAGTCGGGCAAGTTCCAAGAAGCTTTAGACGGTTTAGAGAAATGGTTGACCGATACGGAAGAGATGGTTTCGAATCAAAAGCCACCTTCTTCAGATTACAAAGTCGTGAAGGCGCAGTTGCAAGAACAGAAATTCCTGAAGAAGATGTTGATGGACCGACAAAACTCTATGACATCTCTCTACAATATGGGGCGAGAGGTAGCTGCCGATGCGGATCCGAAGGAACGTAAGGCCATCGAGAAACAATTGAACGATCTAGTAGGTAGATTTAATAATTTGACGGAGAGCGCCGCGGAGAGAATGGACGCTCTTGAACAAGCAATGGCGGTGGCGAAGCGATTCCAAGATAAATTGGTGCCACTCGCTATCTGGTTGGATAAGACTGAGAAGAAAGTGAGAGATATGGAGTTGATCCCCACCGACGAGGAGAAGATACAGCAACGTGTCAGGGAGCATGACGTACTTCATGAAGACATTATATCGAAGACACCAGACTTCAGCGAACTCACGGAGATTGCCAGTCAACTTATGTCGCTGGTAGGCGAGGACGAAGCTACAGCATTGGCCGATAAGCTTCAGGATGCGGCAGATAGATACGCGGCTTTGGTCGAACGCTCCGAAGCTCTCGGTAGCTTGCTGCAACGTTCAAGACAGGGCTTACGGCACCTGGTTCTCACCTATCAAGATTTACAGGCGTGGATGGAGAACATGGAAATCCGATTGTCAAAGTATCGTATCTTGGCCGTACACACGGAGAAGCTCTTGCAACAAATGGAAGATCTAGCAGATCTTACGGAGGAGGTGTCCACGCGACAGACGGAAGTCGACAGTACCGTGGATTCTGGTCTAGAACTGATGAAACACATTTCGAGTGACGAGGCGCTTCAACTGAAGGACAAGTTGGACTCTCTGCAACGACGGTTTAACGATCTTGTCACGCGTGGCTCGGATCTTTTGAAGCATGCCCAAGAATCTCTACCACTGGTGCAACAATTCCACGATAATCACAATCGCTTGATGGATTGGATGCAAGGCGCGGAGACCGCTTTGCAGTCCGCCGAACCTCGCGAGGAGGAGATTATCCGACTCGAGATGGAGATATCGGAATACAGACCCGTCTTGGACAAGATCAACGCGGTGGGTCCACAACTGTGTCAGATGTCACCAGGAGAAGGTGCCGCGACCATCGAAGGTCTCGTGACCAGAGACAATAGGCGATTCGACGCGATCGCCGAGCAGATCCAGAGAAAGGCCGAAAGAATTCAGTTGAGCAAGCAACGATCTTTGGAGGTGATCGGCGATATCGACGATCTGCTCGACTGGTTTAGAGAAGTGGACAATCAACTTCGAGAGGCCGAGCCGCCTAGCAGCGAGCCTGAGATTATTAGAGTGCAATTGAAAGAACACAAAGCGCTCAATGACGATATATCCAGTCAGAAGGGTAGAGTCCGCGATGTTATTTCGACTGCGAAGAAGGTGATACGCGAGAATGCTCAGCATGAAGATACATCTACTATCAGAGACAAGATGGAAGACTTGCGCGAGACGATGGAGATTGTATCAGCTCTATCATCAGACAGATTGGGAGCTCTCGAGCAAGCTCTGCCGTTAGCGGAGCATCTCCGAGATACCCATGCTGGCTTGGTCAGCTGGCTCGAGGAGGCGGAACAACAAGTCGCTATGTTACCCATGCCTGCTTTGCGACCTGACTTGATAGCGGCGCAGCAGGACAAGAACGAGCTTCTCATACAAAGCATTAACGAGCATAAACCTCTGGTGGAGAAGCTCAACAAGACCGGTGAGGCACTTATCAAACTGTGCAACGAGGAAGAAGGTATAAAAGTGCAAGACATTCTGGATAATGACAATGCTCGCTACGCGGCACTGAGAGCCGAGCTGAGGGGCCGGCAACAGGCGCTGGAACAGGCACTGCAGGAGTCATCTCAGTTCTCCGATAAACTGGAGGGTATGCTGCGCGCGTTGTCTTCCACCGCCGATCAGGTGAACGGCGCCGAGCCGATCAGTGCCCATCCGCCTCGTTTACGCGATCAGATGGAGGAGAATGCCGCCTTGGCGGATGATCTCGCTCAAAGATCCGAGGCTTACGCGGCCGTTAAAAGAGCGGCGGATGATGTGATCAGCAAGGCTGGCAACAGAGCCGATCCGGCGGTGAAGGACATCAAACGCAAGCTGGATAAGCTCAACAAATTATGGACCGACGTACAGAAGGCCACGAACGATCGCGGCCGCACCTTGGACGACACTCTAGCCGTCGCCGAAAAATTCTGGGCCGAGTTGAACGGAGTTATGGCCACTCTGAGAGAACTGCAGGACGCGCTGGCTGGACAAGCACCACCGGCGGCTCAGCCAGCCGCTATTCAACAACAGCAAGTGGCGTTGCAAGAAATCCGACAAGAGATCGATCAAACGAAGCCGGATGTCGAGCAAGTCCGGTCATCGGGACACGAATTGATGGGCTTGTGCGGCGAGCCGGACAAACCTGAAGTGCGAAAGCACATCGAAGATTTGGACCAGGCTTGGGACAACGTCACCGCTCTATACGCCAGGCGCGAGGAGAATCTGATCGACGCCATGGAGAAGGCGATGGAGTTCCACGAGACGCTGCAGAATCTGTTGGAGTTCTTGCAAGAGGCCGAGGACAGATTCGCGGAGATGGGTCCGCTCGGCAGCGACATCGACGAGGTGAAGAAGCAGATCAAGCAGCTGGCTAATTTCAAGGCCGAGGTGGATCCGCACATGGTGAAGGTCGAGGCGTTGAACAGGTGAAAATTTAATTTTCAAGTGAAAGCTGAATTTACATGTTAATGTCGTTACAAAGAGTTCAGTGCGCAGCATTGTCCCCTTTGTGCAACCCCAACCCGAGAAATATTTGCGATGAGAAAACGTAAATTCTAATCCCGACTTTTGTTTTTCTGCGCCGGTTCCCGAACATAGGAGTCTGACAAGGCAAGTCGATCTCTCTCTGTGTTGTCGCTGGTAGTTAGAGCATGGCTTCATGTTGTGAAAATGTTTATACTCCCCCCCCCCCCCGTTTAATTTAATAATCTTGCTGCCCCTTAACAATTTGCGTCACACATTTAATCGGATCCTCCCTCTTTATGTTACCTGAAGATAAATTACCCAGCCGCATGTGTCAGGTAAATCAAGTGATCCACCATGAGAAATCGTAGACGATAATACAATTTATATTCTTGATAGAAATAATGTGGAAACGGCAGTGATTAATATCCAGTTGATATTAATTCCTCCGTAGTTAAACTTGTTGAAATTTTTATACCCGTCCTCCCTGTAGATGTGGTTCAGTGTGGTTCGAGTACAAATACATTTCTGTAATATCAAAACTAATGACGATGTATTTTCTAACATTATTGTCTTTCCTATCTAGGCAAGCGGCCGAATTGACGGAAAGAACATCCTCCGAACAAGCAGCAGCCATTAAGGAACCGCTCGGTGCCGTGAACAAACGCTGGGACGGATTACTGAGAGGCATGGTAGAGAGGCAGCGATTACTGGAGAACGCATTATTGCGACTCGGCCAATTCCAACACGCCCTGGACGAACTATTGGTATGGATCGAGAAAACTGACAGGACATTGGATAATCTCAGACCAGTAGCGGGTGATCCACAAGTGATCGAAGTCGAATTAGCCAAGCTGAAGGTCCTGGTGAATGATATACAAGCTCATCAGACGAGCGTCGACACTCTGAATGATGCTGGACGACAGCTGATTGAGGATGGCAAAGGCACCGCGGAAGCGTCCACCACAGCCGATAAACTGGGCACTCTGAATCGCCGTTGGCGAGACCTGTTGCAGCGCGCCGCGGATCGCCAACGAGAACTGGAGGATGCCTTACGGGAGGCGCAATCCTTCACCGCTGAGATACAAGACTTGCTGTCGTGGTTGGGCGATGTGGATAACATGATAGTAGCTTCCAAGCCCGTTGGTGGATTGCCCGAGACAGCATGCGAGCAATTGGAACGCTTCATGGAGGTGTACAACGAGCTGGAACAAAATCGTCCGAAGGTCGAGACGGTGCTGCAACAAGGACAGGAATACCTGAAGAAAGCGGATACCAGCAGTGCCGGTGGATTGAATCATAATTTGCGAACGTTGAAGCAAAAATGGGACAATGTGCTCGCGCGCGCCAGCGATAAGAAGATAAAGTTGGAAATCGCTCTGAAGGAGGCCACTGAGTTCCACGACGCGTTACAAGCTTTCGTCGATTGGTTGACTAACGCCGAAAAGATTTTGACGAATCTCAAACCAGTTTCGAGGGTGATGGAGACCATACTTCAACAAATCGAGGAACACAAGGCATTCCAGAAAGACGTTGGCGTCCATCGTGAAACTATGCTGAATCTCGACAAGAAAGGAACCCATCTGAAATACTTCTCTCAAAAACAAGACGTAATTCTTATAAGGAACCTGCTCGTGAGCGTGCAGCATAGATGGGAACGAGTAGTTTCCAAGTCAGCCGAGAGGACAAGAGCATTAGATCACGGTTACAAAGAAGCTAGAGAGTTCCACGATAGCTGGTCGAACTTGATGAACTGGTTGGACGAAACCGAGAAGACGTTGGATGAAGTCGCTGCCGACGGACTTGGTGGCAACGATCCGGACAGAATTAAAGCGCGCCTTAACAGACACCGCGAGGTACAAAAAGCATTGAGTGCTAAACAAAGCACGTACGATAACACCATGAAGAACGGCAAAACGTTGAAGGATAAGGCGCCGAAGACCGATGAACTTGCCTTGAGGGAACTTCTGAACGAGTTGAAGAACAAGTGGACTATAGTCTGCGGTAAATGCGTGGATCGACAGAGGAAACTAGAAGAAGCGTTGCTATTCTCCGGACAGTTCAAAGATGCGATTCAGGCATTGCTGGAGTGGTTGAGCAAGACCGAGAAATATCTGGCCAACCCTGGGCCGCTTTACGGCGATTTGGATACGGTAACCAATTTAGTGGAGCAACACAAGGCTTTTGAGGGAGATTTAGAATCGCGCGCCTCGCAAATGGAGTCCGTCATCAAGACCGGTCGTGAACTCGAATCTAAAGCTTCTATCGAAGACGCATCGATGATCAGATCGCAGTTGTCCGAACTGAACAGTCTCTGGGACAGAGTAACCAGTCTCTCGTCGAAGAAGTCCAGACTATTGGAAGAAGCTCTCAGAGAAGCTGAACGACTTCACAAAGCCGTTCACGTGTTACTGGAATGGTTGAGTGACGCGGAGATGAAGCTACGATTCGCTGGACCGTTGCCGGAAGACGAGCAGGAGAGCAGGAACCAATTGATGGAGCACCAGAGATTCCTTCGCGAACTACAGACTAAGGAAGTTGAAAAAGACAACACGTTAGAGTTGGCACATATTATTCTTGGAAAAGCACATCCCGACGGTGCCGCAGTTATTAAACACTGGATCACGATCATTCAGTCTAGATGGGAAGAAGTGGCGACATGGGCTTATCAAAGGAACCAAAGACTGGAGAATCATATGCAGGGCTTACAGGTTTGTATTGTATATATTCGTCACATATTTTATATCTCACAGGAGAGACTGTCATTGTTACATGCATATTTGTAGGATCTTGATAATCTTCTTGAGGAGTTATTAGCCTGGCTCCACGGTTTGGAGAACACTTTGAACGCCTTGGAAGCGGAACCTTTGCCCGACGACAGGGCCACGCTCGAAATGCTTATCGCGGACCATAGAGAGTTTATGGAAAACACCAGCCGAAGACAAAACGAAATCGATCGCGTTTGCAAGGCCCGACAGATCAAGCCGATAAAGGACACGAGAAAAATATCGAAAGTCAGATCACCAGCGCCTACGTACGTATTTATCGACATGAAAATTTATAATACTAATATATTGATATCATTGAAATTCTTCTCATTTTTTCTGAAGTGATATGGATACGTGATGGATGCTGATAATATGCAACGACTTTGTATTTCATTATGCTTGTTCCATATTTGAATCGTTAAGCTTCGTTTGCATTGTGCTCGTATGTGTACAACATTTGTCTGTGCGTTTAATTGCTTTTATTTGTTTCACGAGTCTTACAATGCACATTGCAATTTTAGGAACAATTTCAGACCACCACGTTTGAGAGCATTTCTCACGTGCCTGCAGATTTTTTTATATCATCTTTTTATGTATCGAATTTTGTGTGTATTTAACTGTCGCATGATATGTTGCTTTTGCAATGGAATTTCAGTAAGGATCTCTATCAGGACGCCGAGCATGAACAGCCTCAGCCTCGTAAACAAAGGTGCGTTTGTCCATCATAACATATGTAAATCTTTTCTACATATCTTAATCGCATAGTCTTTTCGTAAGTACAGTGTTGTTGTGTGTTCAATATGTTTAGTAGAAATGTATGCGTTAATTTTTGTATGTTTTTGTGATATTCAAAACACAACATTCTCATTACACGATAATTCTTGTTAGCACAATAACTTAGTATCCAGAAACAAGAATCTGGAATTTAAGTGTATTTAACTCACTTGCTTTTCACTCGTGACATGCATAAACTTACTACTGTTCACAATGCACTGTTTTAAAAAATCAATCAGATATATTCTTTTGCGTTTTGTGTTAGGTATTTGTTACATTATTATAATGCATACGCATAGCTTTAAGACATCGTCACAATTAACAATCTCTTTCAACACAATGTGAAGCTGATTTTAAACATTTCTCAAATACAATTTTCACGTGTACATGAAAATCGTATATTCGATAAAAACTCGCGCTAGTTTCACACTTTTATAATCTAATACATGAAAAAAAACTATCTATAAACTAGAATGCTGTATCAAAGAGGAGCGTTTTATAGATGCCTTATTTAGTAGAGAATGTTTGAGTGATGTGACGCATGTTCCTGTTTAGCCGAGGCAGCCCAGGTCGTGACAGAACGCCAGACCTTTCATTGCCACACATCGGTCCACGCTTCCCACCCAAAGGAAGGTTCGTTACGCCTAGTCTTATTCGAATTCATTCCACGTCGTTTCATAATTTTCACCCGAATCATACAGACATTACTACGCCGTACAACTCAGCGTATCATACAACTCACTAGTGTCTCGGTAATGGGATTCTTGTCTTATTTTTCTTTTTGCGGGATGTGGTTGGGTTTGATGAATTGTTACTGTTCGTTCACAAAATTGTCTGTCTTGTACTGGAAGTGTGAAGTTTTGGGTTTTCTGACGTTTACATTTTAACTTGTTATCGAGTTTTCCTTTATTCTCGCGAATATCGTACCCTTGCGTTATAGGTATCTTTCTGAAATTAGATCGGACTAATTGCCTTAATCAAAAGGACGTTTCTCATATTGCTAATTTTTACATCGTAGATATATATGTCGACAAATTTTCGTATACAAATGCAGTACATATTTTCTTTTCTACAAGCAGCAAAGGAGCCGAGCCGGAATTCCGCAGTCCGAGAGTTAAGCTTCTCTGGGATAAATGGCGCCACGTTTGGATGCTGGCGTGGGAACGTCAACGTCGTCTTCAGGATAAATATAATTACATTCAGGAGCTGGATCGCGTGGCTAACTTTAGCTGGGAAGATTGGCGCAAACGGGTAAGACTTGCAACATAGATTCGTTTCTCTTTCACTTTTAATAGAAATAAAAATCTAATTATTTATCTGTGTCATTATCACAAACTGTTTAAATGCGTGATATTTATTGCAGTTCCTGAAATTCATGAATCACAAGAAATCCAGGCTGACGGATTTGTTCAGAAAGATGGATAAAAACAACGATGGACTTATACCAAGGGAGGACTTCATTCAAGGAATTATGAACACCAGTATTTATCACGTTTCCTTATTTTCCAAACAAGAACATGTGCATGTCTATACTATTCTAATTGTTTAATTCACAGAATTCGAAACGTCTCGTCTGGAGATGGGCGCTGTTGCTGATCTTTTTGATCGTCACGGCGAGGGCTTGATAGATTGGAAGGAGTTCATCGCCGCTCTACGACCCGATTGGGAAGAACGTCGGACCTACAACGACACGGACAAGATACATGACGAAGTTAAACGGCTGGTCATGCTCTGCACCTGTCGCCAAAAGTTCCGTGTTTTCCAAGTTGGCGAAGGAAAATACCGAGTACGTGTAGAGTTGTAACGATTCGTTTAACTGATTTTAATTACGATCTCGTATTATTAATATCACTGATGTATCACGTATGACTTTGATCGTAATGACCGCGAAATTGCAGTTTGGTGACAGCCAGAAGCTTCGGTTGGTTCGAATCCTGCGATCCACTGTCATGGTGCGTGTTGGTGGAGGCTGGGTAGCGTTAGATGAATTCCTCCTAAAGAACGATCCATGCCGCGGTAAGTATTCACGACAAGCCTTTAATCTGCGTGATATATATAGACGATCCGAGATTAGGCTGAGATAAATTGTAACCGTATACTGGTCCACGAATTTTTTTATTGCCAGTAGTAAGGAAAAAGAAAGTAAATAATCAAAACGACTGTAACCGAGTGAACTTGGGCTGAGTTAATGCAAAACATGTTTGCAAGGCAAATTACTCCTTAATACCAAGTAATTATAACTTTAAAAAGAAATTTTCTATGGTACTGTTTCCTTCTCTCTATCCTTTTTTTCCCCCAAGAGGCAATTAAACTTGTGTTCCCGTTTAATTTCGGTATTTCTAATAATCGAAAATGATGCTTTTGAGTATATGTTCTTATAACAATGTGTTAACGTTTGGTTTTTGTTTCCATCGCTCTTCATATCAGTCGACATTACTTTGCTGCATTAAATATAGGAATGTAGTATCATTTAATGAATTCATCGTCATTAACGAAAGCATACCTGAACGTCGATTTGGTATAACTATTCGTATACTTAATAACCGAAACTAATTAAAACTATATTAAGATTATCTATATGCTATATGTACGATTTCGACTCCCCTGAGGTATCATAACATTACCATTAATCAGACATTAAGTGCAATTCATTGTTAACTTAATATTTAAAGAAGAATTGAGAGAGTAGCATATACACTCGCTGTTTATTGCTTTTGCTTATCTAGTAACAACTTTTCCGGTATATGTACATTGGGTTACTCCGTTGGCTTTTGATTGATAAGTAAAAGGGTCAATCCGGTACTATTTTTTACATTGTACTTTGATTATATTTACACTATGCATGATAATTAATTTAATTACGTACCTTTGAATTGCGTAAACGTTCGGTACTAAAGAAAATGTCCATTGTCGTTTCTCTCTAACGCTCTCTCTAAACTTCTCTTTTATTTTCTCTCTCCTTTTCCGCCAATGGTAAATTCATCAATTTCGAAATATCAGTCTTGAGATAATCATTAGGTGTACGTCAGAAAACCTTTTTTCTGGTATAGTACGATTTCACGAGTAGTAAGTAATATTACAGTAGGCATATCTAACGTCTTGTTACTGTGTACTAACGTTAATATAACTGTTCCTTACTGTCCGTCAATCCTCCTTACACTCCCGTACGTCTAACTCTACGACAAACGTTTCTGTTTGTTTGATTTTCTTTTGTTTTACGTTTGTTTACCGAATACGTTTCCGTCGTCCGAAAATTACAAAATTTCCAAATCGCGGCGCATGCATGAATACGTATCTCGCTCTTCCTAATCGACTCCGTCTCTCGAATCGTGATTAACTCGTTAAGTTTTTCTAATGCCAATACCGGATCCTAACAAACCGGAACAACATGAGGGTTGGTGTCCGCTCGGTGAGAACTGTTTTACGTGCACATTATTCGTTCATGGTCTATACGTTGAACGAAACTCGCGCGTTCGATTATTAAAATGTCTTATTCGCGAGACTCCATTTATATTGGATGTCGGTGACGCATTACTAATAGCAACTGCTACAGTATAGACCATGAAGGTGATATCCCTGCGTATGGTGCATGACCTTATTGGCTTGTTCGAACTGATTTTTCGAAGTGTTGCCTTTTTGTTGAGTATGTCTATATACGTGCGTATACGGTTGTATTATATAGAACGATTAAATATTGGCAATTACTGTCTGGACAAGGTAAATGGATTTGCGCAGGTTGAAATTAACGCTGTAGTTACTGCGCTACGCTAATGTCATCGTCTTACATTTTGATGCAATTTCGAGTATCATTTTAACAAAAAATAGTGCCTGTGTTTATAGTGATGCAGGTTTACGAATGTAATATACTGCAGTCGTTTCGCTTTCTTTCCCCCGTTTTGTATTTATTGAATCCTTTTTTTTCTTTCTTAATTTTGGTGGATGGTTTATGTTAGCCAGTTTATTCCTTATTTGATGATTATTTTCCGTGTTAAATGTTCTACCTCTGTAGTAATATTCAATGTGATTATTTCATCTATTGATTTGCAGTGATCAATTTTGGTGTATCCTACTGTAGTATCCCTTTTCTGTAGAAATTTTAATAGCCCTGCTAGAAGATAACCAATGCATGTTTAGTTTGAGATTGTCTTTACAATTATTTATCATACTGGGAAATGAGTTTTGTATATGAATATTAAAATATCTCCCCCCTCTTTTCCCTTTTTTGAGTTCATTTATCATTCAAATGTTACATTAAAGTTAAAATACATTGGTTTCTTTTGGCATGGTTTACGCGTATAATCCCAAAAGATTTTTTTTGTATACAGAGAGTTCTAGGAATGTCGTACTTTCTTCCGGCTAAAAATTCAAGAAATATATACAAATATATCTAAGGATAAGTGGGAAAAAATAAATAACTATAAGTTTCGAGTAAATTTTTATTAACAAAAATCAATTTTTTTCACGTGAAAGACATTCTGGGATACTCTATGTCTATAATATTCATTAATCGCTTAGGGATATTGTGAAATGTACGATAACGAACTTAAGTTATCATATTTTCATTGAAAGAGTGGAAGTACAGAAAATAAATTTTATCGCGAATCGCACATTTTATACGAATATCCTAAGCACCGAATTCAGTATTGTACAAAATCGAGTCAGTGTCAGAATATTTAGTGGCTGTGTCGTAAATTTTATTTGTGCAATAATCGTGATAAACTTAACTTGATTCGAGTGACTGTTTCAATAAGTTTGTACCTCTGAATTATTCGATTTTATGATACCGAAATTTTTCGACCATATATTCTAAATACGCTGTCTTTTCTTTTTTTTTCCATGACACAAACTCACACCTGGACACGCCACACATGCATACATGTACTCGAAAACACGCACGCATACCGTGAAACATTTTTGTCGCCTTTTTTTTCTCTTTCTCAAAACAATTTCTCCTGTCCATTATTGCCGCTGCTCATTGACGACGCGCATGCCTTGATATTGTAAACCTGTAAAATATATATATCGTTACACCTTCCGCTCCACATAACTCATGACTCTCGTTCCGGATGTTGCCGTTCCGATATTTACACACTCGTTTTCGCTTTCATATTTTTTTCCCCTTTTTTTTCTCTCGTTAAACTAACACGTCACGTACCGTTCTCGCGTCCGTTATCTCATCTCGACGTCATCCGTTCCCGCTCTCTGTCTCCGGACTGTTTTCTTGTACAAAATAATGTCTCTCTGGCACCTCCTCTCGTACCCCGCATCCCCGAAACGCCTTTTCCCTAACTGCGTGCACGCAACACACTGTAGCCAAGGGAAGAACGAATATCGAGCTGCGGGAGCAATTTATACTGGCGGACGGTGTTAGCCAAACTATGACGGCCTTCCGGTCCAAGCCGAGCCCGACCTCGACGCTGCAGCGTACGCAAATGTCCTCCACCAATGCCGGACCGATCACCAAGGTAAGCAGGGTCCATTGTCCAATCGTGGAATCCTCAAACGCGACGTACGGTACTCATTCTCGCCTTGCCTTCTACTTCTCTGCCGTTAATTTGTAAATTAAACTCGCGAATTAGATCTTTGGGTGCCGCTGTGGTATCGCAATAGAACAATTAAAATTGCACGGACAACTCTATCAACGTTGATTCACGGTCTCATCGATGACATCCGTAAGTACACGACCACTTTTCGTCATCCGTCTGCCTAGCCGTTTGACGTTCGCATGAGCATGGCAGTTTCCAGTCAGTTGCATTGTTTGAACACGTAGAGGCAGCTAGAAATAGATGACGCTTGTCTACTCTCATCACTGGTCAGTCTTGTAAAAAAAAAAACAGTTTGATTACCCCAATTAAAAGCCAGACCCGTCGTGTCTTCGTCTCAATCTCTTCGTTCGACCTCAGGAGATGCGATTTCGTAAATTTCTTGCCTATCTTCTCCGCAAATCCTTCCCGACCCCGTCGCTTCGCAACAGCGAGGGGAGACTGGACTTCCCAACTCCACACAATCACTTGTCCCTGAAAAATCCTATGACGACAAATATTACATTAAATATAAATTGAAAAAAGTTATATATTGTGACCCGAGTCAACCGTTAATAGGAAAAAAAAAGACACGTTGGAATCATCTGTCAGTTTAGCGCGGAGATAGCTGTTCGTTTCAGGAATATTTTTCACTCGTTGGTGCCGTGAGCCTCCCAAGAGAGGGGGGGGAGGGCCCACTACGATTGCATGAGGAAGCTAAAGATTTTCATTTGTGGTGTAGCGGAGGAGTTTATGAGCCAGCTGATGCCGATATTTGAGAATTTGAGGCAAAAGGAGGACCTCCCGTGCTCGTATCCCCTTCACATGCACGCCCCCTCTTATCATTGGGTAAATAACGAAATTTTTCTCAATTTTCTATCTTTTTGCCGTTCGTGTGATGCTGTACACACTTGAGTTTGGGTTTTGAGTGCGGCCGCGACACGCGACTTGAGTCGATCGACGGTGCCATTATGCATTTCCATGGACTGTCATTTGCTTTTTCTTTCTCTGCTGCTTCTCTATATTTATGTATTACGGGAATTCCCCGATGATGCATAAATACCGGAAGTTCTGAGCGATAATTTATGATTAATCCACGATAGCACAAGTGATTATTCATGTGTCACAATCACTTCCGACTGTAAAATTGATAAGTGCATGTCAGAAGAAATGTGTGCCGTATGTAAAGAGAACAAGTAATGTGAAGGAGAATGGATAGAAACGGAGGCTTAGAAAAAGGAGTTTCAGTTTCCGGCTCATTATCATGTATCTCGTGTCACTTTATCTCTGCCTCACGCCTGCCCATTTTTCTGTAAGGAATGTATAGAGGAGGCTCTCACGTGCCTCGACTGTAAACTCACTTTGCGGTCTGGTACCACTCGAGGTAGATTCATAGCACGTTACATCGCGAAATGCAACACCACGTCGCATTCAAGCACATTATTCTGCATCGAATTGGTTTTCTTTTTGGTTGATCGTTGAATGTGTCTGATATATTTTGTGTCAGAATTATTTGGACGCCTCTTAACTCCCCTGACCCTTGCCCCCTCGACAGATCGATTGTATTGATGTAATCTACCCAACTTTGAGCATGATTAGATTTCTCTCTCGCTGTTTCTCACCTCATTTTCTAACGCGATGCGAACATCGAGCAACGAATTAAATTTTACGGATTAATTTCTCGAGTTTTGCGTGCACTTTTCGTCTCGTAGCCGAAAAACCAGTCATTAACATCGTCGATAACGATCGCAAAATTTCCTCGTGCCAGCAACTTGAAATCGAACTTTTGCAAATGAGCTCGTGACAGTAGACCCGTTTATTCGTACGGCAAAGTGCATCGGGGATATGTAGTCAATTTAATTGAACATGAACATGCATAACGAATGTCGTGTCCTGTATTGCTGCGTGCGTAGTGGCATTGATCGGAGATACCTCGAATCACCATAAGCTACTATATCTCTCCCAACTTCTTGTGGTAAGTTTTGCATGACACTTCGCTTTACCTACTACCCGAATCTGGTAACTGTGTTTATTTTACATTCGTATTATTTAATCTTGATATTTTTTAACAGCTTCGACGAGCGTAAGACCGCAGACCGGTATATCTTCACTAAGTCCACAGGCTGTGCACAAGTTTGTGTTGCTTGTTAAACTTTTGACGATAATAACTCCGTGGATTTACCGAAATCTAATTTAAGAATTTCAATTCTTATAGGCAAAAGGACTTTTATAATTTACCTGCTGCGTTTATCTACTAGTATTTTTTTTAGAGAGTCATCGTTAAAGTAATAATCGAAGACTATCATTTATGTTTTATTAGTTATTCTTTTACATCTTTTCGTGGGATCTCGTTTTTACAGTAGAGTATTAGAGAAAGCACGTGTATTTTCTATTACCATGAAAATACTAATTTAGTGTGATTTAATGAATTAATTTATACACATAGACGTGTCTTAATTTCCAATACTGCTTGATTTTATTTTTATTAATATATCGCAGAAAGCTAAAACTACTGCATTGTAAGCAGCAAACATTTTTTTCTACTCTTCAGTAGCTTGGAGAAATATTTAAAGAATATTTCGCGCGACGTAACTTGCACACAGCTAATATTAGCAGTTACTAATAATTAGGCGGCAGAGAACGCGTAATACGAAACCGTACTAATCCGATAGTCGTATTGGACATGAATTAGATGTATAATAGCTTCTGCTCTTGCACGCGTTTAAATGTAAACTTTATCAGGTAACTTGGTTTTACCATCTAGGTGAGAGAACGCAGTGCTCGCAGCGTACCTATGGGTCAGTCGCGAGCTTCGCGTTCATCCTTGAGCGCCGGCACGCCTGACAGCCTTAGCGACAACGAAAGTTCCTTCAAGATATCTAGAAAAGCCAGCACGCCTTATAGATCTACCGTAACGCCTGGTAAGATCCTGAATTAGAACCCAGAAACATTATTAATTATGAAATAACGAGGACACTACAATTAATGTTGCGACACTTCTGCAGGTGGTAGCCGTCCGTCCAGCAGGCCAGCATCAAGACCTGCCTCCCGACCAACCAGTAGACCGAGTAGCCGACCTGCGTCCAGACAAGGAAGTAAACCGCCTAGTCGATACGGATCAACGCAGTCGTTGGATGGTACACATACGTTTCTCTTTTATACTTTCTGATATTCCCCATTCTTTGGCCGAGTCTTGATAGATTATGTCTGATCTGGTTAGATGATTCGTGCACTCCAAGTCGCATTCCGCGAAGGACCATCATAGGCGGCTCTGGTAATACTCCGACGTCCAGTAGACACAACAGCGTATCCGGTAGAAAGCTTGCAACTCCGATGAACGGCTCGAGTTCTCGACCTCGCACTCCAACGGGATTAATTAGCCCCGCCAGTGGAGTGCCTTCCAGGTTTGTACTTTACACGCGTCGCCCCACATCGAAATACCTCTGAAATAGACCGTGAACTAACTTGCATTAGTGTGCCTTTAATAGAAATATGTGTAACCACAATTGCGTGCATATAAATTAACGATTCGACCACTGTCTCACTTTACGTCAAACTGATAGTTCAACGAATGTTCGACATGTTTATCCCAAGGGAATCGATGATTTGCCTTTTAGTTTTTTGTTTAACCCTTCCCTTTCTTTTTCGTTTTACTCATTTTTTGTTTTTTATCCCCTGACATTACGATCGTACCGCGCACGTACAACACGTACCACGTAAAATACCATTCAAGCATTCGAATGTGAAGAAATAAAAGACGAAATATAACCCGACGACGCATCACGCATTAAATTGATCGAGTCTCTTACTACATCTCGTGTTAACCGCAAAACATTTACACGACTAATCGGTCGGGTATAGTGTTTCAGCAATCATTAACAGATCTGGTTAACAACATTTTTTAGGTTTGGCTCAATCCATAGAGCTTCGAGCATACCAACCCTGACTGGTGTCGGAACACCTATCAGGTAAAGCAAATTAACGAATCGGCAATTTCACATAAAACTGGTTCGGGGTAGCTGATTCTGCAGCTTTCATTTTGCATTATGCACTCTATCATTACGAGCCTATATGAGCCTATTAGAAATGAGAAATGCAGCAAAATGCAAAGTAGAAAGTTGCGAAATGTCTTGTGGTGTAGGGACATCGCTTTTTATAAGAGACGTACTTTTGATTGCGGTGATGGACGTGGTACATTTACGCTCATTTTTTTCACCGTTATTTCATTTCGATCCTTGCAATTGTATCTTTCCTCGTTTCTTCCTCTTCGTCTGTTTGATTCTCGTAAAACGCGAAAAGAGATTCCGTTGTCGTACACTAACTGCGATATACGTTCATGCGGTAATTAAATAACGTTTCGATGGTAATGCCTTAGCCGCTCTAGGATACCCGTATATGTGGGAGTGGATATAAAATCTCCTCAGTCGACCACCAGCAATATGTCTACTCACTCAACACAAAGCAACCATTCTACGATTTCTACTGATTCCACTGGGTATGGCTGAACTGCCGCTTTACTGTAACCCGTTTTCCGTTTCTTCTCACAACGTTTTACTTTTCAAGCATCGTAGAACTTCTAGCAACAATATTATTTAACACCCTGTGCTTGTTGTGTCTATCTCTCATTGAAATCTAATCTTGAAATTGTATACTATACCGCATGGCTTTATTTTATTTGGCAAAAACAGCTCGCTTCTTTTCTTCATCTGGTTATATCAGCGGCTCTTCTTTGTATTTGTATCGTAGCTAAAGTATTCATGTATCATCACTACTTGACGCTGGTAACTTCTACATACGCATTGCAGATTTTAATTATAACAGTTTTTATATTTAAGTTCCTCAACTAACGTTTTCTTTCATAACGCTAGGAGCAGTTCCCTGTGCACAAATTCAGCAACTAACATACCAACAGCGATTAAACAAGCTAGGTAAACATTAATATTAATTCAGAAATTTTCACTTTTCTCCTCCATTCGTTCGCTGAACATATGCCTAAAGAAAGGTGTCAATATCGGTTTGCATTTGAGCTTCAGTGACGTCGAAGGACTGCGCTCGGTTACACACGTGCGCTTATACGATCGGTTATTTCAGGGTACGTACACCGTCCAGTGGATCCAGCACACCGCTACCACCGTCTTCGAAGTTATCGAGGAAACCCTCCGGAGCTTCCGACACGTCCGTGTCGGGAACGACCCCGAGCACACGAAAGGGAAAGCCCACGCCGATCGAACAGCGCGCGCCGTTCCGATTGTAATAGCTTATTAACGAATACATATAGCTTGTAAAATCAGCGTATTATATGCCCGAACGAGAATAAATATAAAACATCCCCGCCGCGAATTTAAAAATGACCGCACGGTTATTGCAGGGAACATACGAATGGTTTATAGTTGTTGTATGATGAGAGACAGAGAGAAAAGCGCATGTGATGTGTGCTAAATTGACTGGATCAAAATTTCGTGGGAGGTAAGTGATGAACTTAGAAGTTATGATTTCATCATTTCGTTGAATTTCGCCAAGTACTGAATGCCATTAAAATTACGGATACCAATGAGTATTTCATACTCTCTTAGGGTAAGGGATTACAAACAGTTGGGGAAATTTATTTATTTCGTGCCCGCGTTAGAAAGTGCTTAAAGCGTCTATCTAGTTTGTAATAACACATAACACTGAAGTAAATTATTGTTATAAATACCATAATCTTGGTATTACCGAAAGTGCAGGGTAATGCTGTATAATTGAAAATATTTAGGTGAGATATAACAATATCTCGGCCGACTTTCTCGATAAGGACAATACTGCTAAAAAGATTTTAGCGTAAAAAAGATCAGCGTTATATGTATTATAATTACGCTTATGTTTGATATATATAACTAGATGCCTGTGTAATTACTTTTATATAATTTAATATAGTTTGCTCATTTCGCATGCATCCCTCTGCATGCTGTATACACCGCGTGAACCGTCGAGGGCTTTCTCGATGAAAATTTTTGAGCTATATTTGAGCAAATTGTATGTATACACGAAGACATTAATTTATTTAATATTTTTGCTTGACTTATTTGTATTCGTCGTGCGACGTAATTAACGTCTAATTCGCATTTGTTAAAAAAAAAGAAAGAGAAACCTTGTATGCGATTTTAGATTTTAGATGATACAGATTGTGAATCGACATTCATTTTTGTTATCCGTTTCGCAAATTGCACCGTACATATTCGATTAGTTAATTGTGCTTACAAAAATCCGATTAGATATATATTGTAATTTTTTTCATATTATATACAAATTGGGTAAGCTCAGATTTGTAAAACCGTAGATGTTAATTTTTACAAATCTGCTTTATATTATTTTCGAAATATTTTGATGTATGTATTTGTATTATTGCGAAACGGAATATCTCGTTGCTTTGTGGAGAAATACGACAGTAATCAAATGTAGTTTAGGATTACGCGCGAGTTTAATCCTCGAGCGGCCGCATTTAAAAAGTGCAATTCTTTCGTAGATATTATTTTCGCAAAATAATGTCTATGAAATTCTTTTAACCACATCTTTTGCGCATCAATATATGTGAAATTAAATACAAACAGGCTAAGATCATTCACGTGCCCGCTCTAAGATTAATGTGCGATATGCTTTTGTTACGTGTTTGCGAATCGATTTATCGATTACTGATCAATTAATAAGTAAATAATTATTATATAATTATAATTATATAATTATATAAAGTATATAATTATTAATTATAATTTACTAATGAGAGATTTAAGAGTTCGGGGGAACATACCTAACAGCGTTAAAATAATAATAAAAAAAAAGAGAAAACTATACGTGTGAATAGTTAAGTAAAATATATTCCATTGCGCGAAGTGTGGCCTGTTAGGTGACGGGTAGAAAAGAGAAACTCTGAAAAAAAGACATTTCCATTTTTTTTATATATCTATACTTTTAGATGCGATTAATGTAACGGAGATATGACTCGCTGCCTCTTATAAATATTACGTAATGCGATTAATCTTATTAACAACTTCTCAACGTATGATCTTTGTTTCTTTTTCACTTACCGAGAAGTGCTGTGTATGATGCTAATAATAATATTATTAATAATGATGATACAGTGATAAAAGAAATATAACAGACACACGCACACACATATTTCAATGAGAAACATATTTTCAACCCTTTTCATTTTTAGGCAATTGTTTCATTGTTGTGCATCATGCAAATGTAAAGAAACATGTACATATGATATTGGCGCGCGCATAAGGTTTTCTTTCATATTCGCACTTTTGAATCGAAGTCGTGGTGTGTCACGGGATCCTGCTGTTGCTTGTGTCCTCGTCAATGTCTAAATTAAACATAGCTATTTAAATACATAGTGATCTTGGGAGAACGGTTTTCCTCGAAACAGATAACGCGCCAACTCCGATCCCCCAGTGTTAACTGACAGTCGCATTGTATAATATATCACGCAGGTACCAAACCCGGGGAGGATCCGATGGAAAAAGCGACGCTTCGTGCACGCTACGCCAAAAAAGGCTTACCAAGTATTTCGGCCAACATTGCGTGCGCTTGTAGACACGTAATTTACGAAGGTACACGTGTGTGTCTGGACGAGTTTTGCGCAGTTTTTGTCTTTTACAAACGCTCTGGGTTTACACTTTTAAGAATGCGCCTGTTGTATTACTGACCGTTGTAATCGGAATAAATATGTTTTCGCACTGAAGACCGAGGACGAGATACGAATATATGGATGTCGGTGTGCAAGAGAGAATCACTGTCAAAAGGATGTGTAAAGTTATCAGAATGGTGTTTCTCTACCAGACAACTCTGTGTCGTGTGTTCTCTCATACCCTTCCTTCTCCGATTTAATCACTGTCGTTATATTCGATGTTTTTCGTAGGAAGTAACATATGGCATAGCAATATCGGCAAATACGTTTTACAGTAATGATTATTGCGCATTGTTGCAGGTGCCAGACATTGAAACTTTTTTATAATACACAAAATAAGTGTATAATCTAGCTATAAAGCTATTCTGAGCCAAAAAATGTAACATAGTACAGCTAGAAAAATAATGAATCGCTCGCATAGTGATTTCAGATACCATTAACTTCGACATCTGACCATTTTTCGAGTACCCAGCTCCGGCATGAACACTGCACTATATCTGGAACAAAATGATATTGATCTATTTAAATATTTTAAATTATGATATTAACCATCTTTTCGCATTGGCGATCGAACTTAGGAAATGGATTAGACCAATTTCAATCTGTAGAATGTGTAAAAAAGGAAACTAAATACGTCATATTGTTGATACGAAAAATGTGCGAAACTTAATATAACGGTAAACGCAAAATATATTTTTTGAGAGATCCATGGTCTTACATGAGCACGAACTGCTATGAAGTGTAGACACAGCGAAAGAAATTTATAATAAATACATTTGGAGTTTTTAAAAGTGCAACGCGCTTAGTATACTCCTATCTGACTACCTCTAATCTCCTGACGCTTCGTCGATTTTGAAGAATTTAAATTCTCGCGGCTCGCGAACCCTTAGATTTAAAGTTCTGGGAATGCTTACAATCTTGGTGTCGACTCTTTGCCGATTAGCACAGTGTCCTGATACTTTGCTAATTTTCAAGTTTAATCTTTCTTTTATCGACTTTTCGATTAGGACACTTAAAGATAAGAGGAATTCTTGGAGTATTAGTACTCACTTTTCTTTAACGCTTTTCTCTAATGTCTATAATTAATTTTTTTTATTTAGTTTAAGATACTTCACTTTTATCAGCGATGTTAGTGCATTTTCCTAACAACTCGGGGAAGTAATGTTTATACCGTTATATCTGACTATATCTGACCACGTCTGCTTTTTGATATATATATTTATAGGTAAATGGATGCATTATAAATTGGATGTAATCTGACCAAATTTTATCACATCTAACATTATTTGATACAATTAGATAAAATTGGATATATAGCTTTTTCCCCCGGGAATATATGGTATACTTGACATTTCTTCTATATTTTGTACTGATACAATCGTGATTTAAGTATTTCTTATGCTATAAATCGAGAGCTTAATATTTCAATATGTATGGTTATATCGTAGCGAGAAATAACTTGTCGATAGATGTCGAAACGATATTGAATCTATATCAACGCCGTCAAATTGACATCGTTTCAACATCGATCGACGAACCATTTCTCAGTGGGCTATAAACATCATGGATTAATGTAGATAGAATTATTAACTACAGCTATGATTCTTCGAGTTACTGCTAGACTTAAATTACTTGATCTATAAGGAGTTATACTGATATTTAATAAGTTCGTTTATCTGCCCGACGATTCTCGATTTACAAAGACGAGATTTTGTTACTAAATTTTGCAATCAATTATTAGCTTACATTATGACGAAACGATATATTGTTCTTTTATCGCTTCTTGATTGGAAAGATCGCAAATCAAACAAATGCCAAAACCGTCATATTAAAATATGTTGACTATTATCTATTCATCTATTGTGAAAGAGTTGTTTTTTATATGCATATATATTTAATTGAACCTTTTTATCTAAAAAAGTACTGAAATTTGCAAATAAAAATGCCATAGTAAGAAAGCGGTGTTCTTTGAAATAAGATTTGATTAAACCTTTTTATTAAAATAATAATAGTGCTTAGAAAACGAAAAAATGGCAAACACTTTTGATCTATTCGACAACTTTCTTGCTATAGTATTCTGTAAAAGCCTTTTAATCCTTTATAAAAGCCCACATAGCACAGCGACATCACAGTGATATCAGTGTGATATCTGTTTAAGGATATCCCATATCCCAGAGATATCTTGAGATATCCAAATTACATCAGTGTGATATCACGGGAATATCCAAATGTCCGCCTTTTATCACA